ATCTTGGTGATAATTTCAACTAAAGGTTGATACTTTTAGTTTGTTTTGATGCTAATTTTAGCTTTTTCTGCTAATCCAGCTGTAATTCTGCTCTTTTCTGCTATTATTCTGCTAATTTCTGCTTTTTTGTGCTTCTTTCTGTCATAGTCTGTGTTTATTTTCCTTAGTTTTCTAGTGTTTCTGTGTTCCCCTGTGTWTCTCTGTCTTGCAAAAGYCCCGCCCTTGCTCACCTGTTTCCTCTTGTGTCCCTTCCAGGTGTTTCTTGTTGTCTTTAATTAGTTTGCTTTATATTCTGTCTTGTGTTCAGTCTGTGTGGTGTCATTGTTCTGTCAACCTCAGTTAGTGTGGTGTCTCTATGTTCCTTGTACCTGTTCCTCTTGAGACTTTGTAAGTTTTTGAGCTGCCTCATCAGTCTTTTTGTTTATTATTAAACCATTTTGTTACGTTTTTGAGCCTGCCTGCGCCCTGGGTCATTCTGCTTGCACACAATCCTCACACTTTCAGCTTTTCAAATTGAACTTGCATTAACTGTTTYGCTATTAAACATTTTCAGCTCAATTTCAGCAACTTTCAGCTAAAGTTTTCAGCAATYAGCATTTTCCTCTAATTGAAGTTAAATTTATTTGAAATACACATGCACATTTAACCATGCAGCAGCAAGGTAAGAATCATATAAAATAAAAATCAACACTTGGAAAAAAAAAGTGAAGTCTTCATTTACATGAAGGGATCTTGCAGCCAGCCTGCTAAAGTGCCCTCATTATCGRTGGCTTCAACTTCTGGSTTCTGGTCCTGTGTCTTGTTGGAAKAGATGTTGATGTAAGAAAAAGACCTGCATTAAAAACAGATCTGACTGTAATGGATGCCACTTCAGTGACTCAGGAACACATCCACACATCACTGTCTAACACAGCTGGCTGTCCCATCCACAAATGCAGGTTAAAGCTCTATCATGCAAAGGAGAAGCCTTGTGAATACCATCTAGAAATGGTCTTCTCTGGGACAAGGGAGTTTAATCTTTCCATGGCTTTAAATTTGATTGGAGGAAAATTTGGTGTGATGTTGAAAAGGCTTCAAAAAAATCTAAACACGGCTACAAAAGTGAAATTTTGTTAAACGGCATTAATAGGCACAAAATAGGCACTGAGTCAGACTTGTTCTGCTCTGGGACTTTTCATCCATGTTATTTGGAAATGCCCAGGGGTTCAGGATCTCTGGATTAAATTAATTTGTTGTCTTTTGGGAAAACAAACTGGAGTTCCTCTCCCTTTTGACCCCGCTGGGTAAATAATAACTAATGACTCACAACTGCAGCTAACACTGAAAACGTGTAGAGTCTGGTTGTCAGGTCTGACTGCAATGAAGAAAATTATAGCTCAGAGGTGGAAACCTCCTAATGACACATATTTTGTTCACTGGATGATTTTATAGACATTGTTTACCTGGAACAATACTTCAAACAGCATCGCATTGGATGGACTTCATACATAACTTTAAGAAACTACTTTCTATGATTAATCAGGATTGTCAGGATGGTGGACACTATGGATGGGAAGGGATGTGTCATAATGTTAAAAATGAAGAATGTAATTATATAGGCTTTGTATGCATGTCCTTTAACAATGAAATATATTTTAAATTAATTGAGGCAAAGTGGGAAAAACTGCTACGACAAATCGAAATTGAAAATTACTTTTGGAAACTACGATTGTCTCGCTTCTGTCAGTGTGCCCCAGGGCAGCTGTGGCTACAATCATCAGTGTGTGAATGTGTGTGTAACTGGGTGAATGTCTGTAAGTGTAAAGTGCTTTGGGGTCCGGCGGGACTTGATAAAGAGTTATATAAGTTTAGTCCATTTACCATTGTAAAGTCCTCTGTATACTAAAGCAGAACCATCCATCCTTTTGTCAATGCACAGTTCAAAAGCCTGTCTCTCTGATGGTGTAGGGGTACATCAGTGCCATTGATATACATTCCAAAAAGAGGTGTGCTTACTTAACCAAGTTGTGCCAAGTTAAGTAAATCCAACACATCTGTTTTTGAGTGTAGCAGTCAAGATGGGTTCGTGATATTTGCAATCATTGCATTCTGTTTTTATTTAGTTTTTTTTTAAGTCCAAACTTTTAGAGTTCCACATTTACCTTGAAGATAAAGTTGTATTTATGTCGAATTGGATTTGACCCTGAGAGGAGGAGGAGGAGGAGGAGGAGGAGGAAGAGGGGGAGTGACTCAATCCTTTTCCAGGATGAAGTTAATAGTCTCCGCAGCTCGGCTGCTGCTGCTGTTCGGGGACAGCTCGGATGAAGGGATGGACGAGGAGGGTTTTCTGCCCGGGTCGAGCTGTGATGTRTCCGGGCTCCGGAAGGACGGTGGCACCTCTGTGCGCTTTCCTGCCTTCCATCCGGACAACCAGGGACGCGGGCGGAGAGGGGACACTCTGGCGTCGACGTTTGCCCAGCACTCATCCCACTGAACCGACGCGGAGCAGGGAGTGAGAGACGCGCCGTCATGGAGAAACAGAGCAGACTCGACAGGGAGGAGGACACGTCGAAGCGCCGGGACAAGAAGCCCAAATCCGGGAAGCTTTTCCGCGTGAAATCGCTGAAGTCTGTGGGGAGCTTCGTGAACAGGATCATGAAAACTTTGGGCACTTTCAGCCACTTTGGAGACGCGGCGGAAGCGCGGGACGCGGAGGACGACGACGGCGGGTTTCGGACTAATGGCGCACCGTGCACCCTCAGCGCCAGCTCGGGGATCATGGTGAGAGAGGACGCGCTGCAGGCGGTCCGGGAGCGCGCGCTGAAAACCCCTCCGAGCACGTCCTCCTCTCTGTGCGCCGGCGGAGAGAAACTCCTCCACCGGTACGGAGACAGAACCCCCGGGGTTCTGGGGCTGAAGAACCTCGGGAACACCTGCTTCATGAACGCGGTGGTCCAGTGCTTGAGCAACACCGACCTGCTGGCGGAGTACCTGGGGCTGGAGCGGTACCGGATGGACCTGGGTCCGAGCAGGACGAACGGCCGGATGGTTGGGGATGAGAGCCGGCTGGTGAAGGGAGAAGTGACCGAGCAGCTGGCGGCTCTGGTCAGGGCTCTGTGGACTCTGGAGTACACCCCACARCTGTCAGTGGACTTCAAGGTACACCACGAGAGAGAGGCGGTTCTGTTGGTTCTATAGTGCATGAAGGTACAGGTTCAGTGAGGAAGAACTACCTAGGACCCTTACCAGCAGGGGGGTCAAACTCACTTAGGTGGTCAAAACTCAAAACTTGGTCCAAGCCATGCCAATTCCTTTTCCAAATTGTATTTTATGTTGCGTTTAGAACATAACAGATAAAGAAAAGATAAAATTTAGAAAGTCACATCATGAGCATATCAATAACTTGTTTATTTATAAAAACAATCAGGTAAACTAATCACTAAAACTCTAATTACAATAAGAAAATAAAAACAGAAAATATATTCAAAGTTGACTCTGTGGCTCTTTCCACACCACATCAAACATTACCGAAAAACTCAAACGTAATTCTTTTGGCTTAAAGGTTGGCCAGCTGTCATGAGAAGAGTTCACCAAATACAGAGACAAAAAAACCATTAAACTATTTTACATTTAAAGTATTACCTTTGAGGCAGGAAAAAATGTTAACACAGGCCAGATTTAGCCCGTAGGCCTTGAGGTTTGAACAGGTGCATTTCAGGTACACCTGCTGCTCCAGAGTGATGTTTAGTTAGGAAGCTCTAAACACAACTATGAGCTACTTTATTGTCTTTAAAGAGACATTCCGCCCATTTTAAAGTGGGGTTCTTTGGGAAGCTTGTGTACCGTCTGTGATACCAAAGTAGCACGAGTCAGTACAAAACAATTCAGCCTTTAATTTTGATACAACACATTGAGATTGAACAACAAACGTAACACAACAAAGCTTGGCGGTTATGTAAASCTGAGGCTGCAGGTTCGAGCTCCGGTTGTGTCAGGAAGGGGTTCTGGGCTTAAAATCTGTGGTTCAGGTTCACTCGCTGTGGTGACCCCTGAAGAAGGAGCTGAAAGAAAAACAAGAACAAACAGATCATGTTTTCAAATGAAAAGCTTTCATAAAACCTGACTCAGCATTAACAATCAATACTAACAGACATAGTGCTACATTAATAAACACTTGATACATTTAATACACTTAAGTACTCCAGCAGTGAGCACCTAATGTGTTTTAAACATTATAAAAAGTAAAACATAGGTTAATGCTTCATCTGGAATGTTATCTGGTCTTCAAGATCAAACTGAATCACCCTTTTAGTTTGTTGCTGTTTATGTAGGTGTTGCTGCAGTTCTCCCATTGAACAACAGATGTCTCTAACGAACAAACATCATGAAATGCAACCAGAAGAAGAATAGACCTTTCTGTAGTGCACAAAGTGGGCCGAGCTCACGCGTTTGTTGGGAAAACCCTGAGGTTTCTGTGGAAGCACTACTGAAGTTGCACAAACTCAACCAGTAAATTTACACCATTTTACAGAGCCCTTGTATTTGCTCTGAACAGATTTATGTTAAACTGTCCAAGGATCGTAGATGAGATTTGTCATAAATATCTTAGCTATAAAATTTGTAGCTTAGATATGTATTTATGACGTTATTTAATGCCATTCTAAAATGAGCATGTTTCTTTCGCTTTTGCAGCAATAGTTTTGGTTTTGCTATGACTTATTTGCAGTATGATAAATGATAATAGCATAAATATAGGCTGTTTGGTTGTTCTTTGTTATTCTGCATAAACAACTTTCTGTCTATGAAAATGGGTAATAAAGCCTGTAAGTTACTGCAAAGCTGTGTCTTAAGTTCCTATGCCGTCACAGCCACCAGCCCGACTTTTATCATGCTGACGTAGATTTTAAAAAATACAAAACCGTGTAACTCCTACTGTAAATCAGCTTTTTGAGCTTGTTGAATTTGCACAATTCCAATGACATTTTCATAACAACCTCAGTGTTTTACTAGTTTAGCTGTGACCCAGAAAAGCAAATCTCAGATATTTCTTTTGCTGTAACTATGAAATTGTGATTTAATAAAGGGAAGAGAGGGGATTATTCATACACAAACATAAATATACAACAAACATAAATTTGGTGTGTTTTACAGCCTGAAACAAAGCTGCTTGGAATCGTTATATCTAGTGGATAAAAGTATTGGATTTTATTGGTACAAAGACACAATAGACAAGTTTAACTATATTAAATACTAAAGCTGCATTGGTTCACATTTAAATGCTATTTCAGGAACTCTAAATGAGTGTCAGTTCCACTATAAATGTTTCTTTATGCAGAGTCTGTTGATTTATAATAAATGTGACAGCAGTGAGTAGGAATATTTCCAGTAGAGCTGGGGTCAAATCTGCTACAAAAATGTCCATTTTCTGCCCAAATAACTATATAATGCAAACAAGATAGAGACATAAGGTTTACACAATTGTGTTTAGAGAAGCCGTTGTGAAATTCTGAAGATTGGAGTTGATAACGGTCCTCTTTTGAAGTGGGCTCACTCAGATCTTTCATCATCAACTCATCAATGAAGTTGAAAGCACCAAATAAAAAAAACAAACAGTTGCTGTCATTTTAAAACAAAGTCAATCTAAAACTTTTGTTTTCTCTCACAACATGTAAATAAATAAAGTATTTTCTGTATTGTGAAATCGGAGGGTGAGTAAAACTGATTGAAATAGCACATTAACATTAACACATTAAGAACTATTGAAAACTTCCTAAATCTATAGGATCTTATTAAAAACAGTGGGCCTCATGCAAGAACCGTTCGTACACACAGATTTGTTCTTAAGTTGTGCGTACGAG